TATATGTGAGAAGTACGTTGTTAATGAGGCGTGCCTGTGCTGTGGTACGAGAATTCAAACTTCCAAACATATAATTAACATTGCCTTCTCTATTCTATTTTCTTGCTTACGCCTTCTCTAATATCTGATTCTTATTATGTAAGTTGCACTGCACTTCGCCCAGAGACTATCATCTAATGTAAAATCAACTAAATTTGTCTCTTATTTTGTGCCTCTTGTATAATATTTTTAGTCTCCAATTTTGGCTAAATTTGTTGTCTTTCTTAAATTAAAAATTATTATTTTTTCAATAATCTTTAAAAAATATTTTAAATTAAATCAATTGTATAACACAAACTAGATTTAATGTAATATTTTTAATAATAAATATTTATCAATCATTTAATTGATCAAATTCGACATGAGTGAATTTTGTGCAACATATACAGGAATGTATGAGTTTTGTTTGATAGATTTATAATTGACATTTCAATGTTGAGAATCAAATAAGCTTTTGTTTAAGCTTGAAGACTAAAAAAATAACTTTAAATTTAAAGGATCAAAACAAATTTTCCTCATATTTAAGAGATAAAATATATCTAAGTCATCATATTTAATATTTCAAACAAAAATATTTTATATTTTCTAAACATATACTAGTGCTTTTTATTCATAAAAAAGATTAGAGTGAGAATATAATTTAAGTTCTTATGCATCTATTTCACTCTCACTATTAATATGACTCTAATAATTTTATAAATATACTATATTAATTTCATAATTGGTATAAAGTATTGATGTTGAGTTTATAATTTTTATTTTTTATACTATATTTTTATAACTTTTAATGTATTTTGCCAATTGCTTTTAGTTTTTAAGTAAGTATTCATTAATATATAGTTAGAAACAAGATTTTGGATCGATTAATTTGCATGGAAATGTTGATAGATTTATAGTTAGCAGTTGTTAACGTGTTGTGATGGTTTATGAATTCAAACAGTCAAAGATATAAAATATTAGGAGGAATTTCTATATGCAAAATATCTGTCCTGGATGTATCTTTTCAGTCCCTATAATTGAAGCTTTTTAATCCGTTTTAATATTCGTCATTAGTTTTTTTTTAATGTTGTTTCTTTTGTATTAATGTGGCAGAGGAATTAATTCAACAAATTGTATTTGATGTTAAATTTTTTTTGTCAAAATTATTTTAAATTAGATTTTTCGACACTTTGTGCCTCTTTTGTATCCTTATTTACAATGTTCATTACTGAGACACTTTTTTTCTACCTTCAAAATTTGAAGATACCTACCACATTAATACAAAACAGACATTAAAAAAAAGAATTAACGATAATGACTAGAAATAGGGTCGTAGTTAAGGCAAGGCCAATGAGGTCATTACTCTAATTTTATATATATATATAATAATTAATTTTAATTTAAATAATTAAGTAATATATTTTATTATAATTAATTTGTTAATGTGTAAAATCATACAATTATTTAAAATTTATATATAAATTATGACATTCAACAGATAATACAATTGAAAAGAGCAAAATTCAATTAAAACTTGTAGATAAAATAGGTTCACATGAAATCTGTCTCAAAACATCCAACTAAATTAAAACAAGTCTTAAAGCATAAGTTTGCCATTGTGTCTAACAAATGAGAAATGGTAGTTCAAAATAAGTCATAAAGTACTATTATAATCTTGTTGTTCCAATGTCGCATTATCAGAACGAACTCATCACTTCAGTCCTCAACACATTGAGTGTCGACCTCATCACTTAAGTCATTACCTAAAACACATCACAATGAAGACAAGAGAGGGAAAATAAGCATTCATATGTGAAACACAAGAAAAGAATTTCACCAAACATATATTCAACCCACGTACAATTCACAATATTAACTAGTCACAATAATATTATTAATTTATGAATCCGTTAGTTAATATCACCACCACCACTTCACAATACAACTCATGTGTCATGTTCAAGCTAACTTCAATGCATATGCAAGTAACCTAACCATCAACTCAAGACGTCATACAATGGACGAACTTCATCAATGTCCTTAATTAGGCATCGCCATGCATGGCCACACCATTTACATCACTTATGACCAGTATCACACTATTAATCACCACTTAGGCCAATGTATAAATAATGCATCTCATACTGTTTACATTAGTATGACCAATGACACACTGTTTACATCAGTATGACCAATGACACACTGTTAATCACCACTTAGGCCAGTGTATAAAGATACGTCTCATGTTAATCACCACTTATGATCAAGGTAAATGCATATGCAACATGCACCAATGTTCATGCCATGTCACTTCATACTTTCATCCTTTCCATCCATGCTAATGCATAACCACATAATGATAAGCCACATTCAACCATACTCATACATCACTGCATCCAAACACACGTTGTCCATATGCTTAATCATACCAAAGTTAACTATGGGCATCAAATAACTCACAACCATCACCAAGCACATCAATACACATAACATAGTTATAAACTGCGTCGAGCCTCACAAAGTTAAGCTCGGTTTAAAGCCACTACAAAGTGTACACACCTAGTTTTACGTCCAACAAAATTATAATTTTGCCCGACACTAACGAATCATAGAGAGCACCAAGTCTCTCTCACACCCGACACCAAGAATCCATGCCCGGTGCTAATAACACTAGTGCAAAAATTGGATTTAAAATCGGAGTTTTAAGATCGGTTACAAGGTAACCGATCTTAAAAGTGACGCGGTGATAATTTTGTAAATAACATGAACACTTTTAAGATCGGTTAAAATTTAACCGATCTTAAAAGTGCGACTTTTAAGATTGGTTCTTTTGTAACCGATCTTAAAAGGTATGTCTGACACAACTTTTAAGATCGGTTACAAAAGAACCGATTTTAAAAGTGCTACTTTTAAGATCGGTTATTTAACAACTAATTTTAAAAGTGCTACTTTTAAAATCGGTTATTTCAGAACCGATTTTGTATGTTGTATACAAAATCGGTTCTTAAATAATCGATTTTAAATGTATCATCAGAAATCTTTTATATTCTCCTCTATTCTCATTGTCTTTAATCTTCCCTTCTATTCCTTTTTTACTCTCTAACGCTCTCATTTTCTAAAGTCTCCAATAAGGTAAATTTCGTTGTCGTTTTTGTTTTCGTTTTCGTCTTCTCATGTTCTTCTTGTGTCTCTTTTCGTTTTCTCATGCTTTTCTCGTCTCTATTTTCGTTGTAGGTTCAGTTTGGGTAAATTTTGAACCTGGAACGGGCCGTTTTGCAAGGAAAACGGCCTGTTCTGCAGGGAGAACGGCCCGTTCTCTAGGGAGAACGGCCCGTAATGAAAGTTAACTAGCCTGGAACGGTCCGTTCCAGTTTAATTTTTTGTTCACCGCCCGGACTTTTAAAATCGATTATAAAACAACCGATCTTAAAAGTTAACTTTTAAAATCGGTTGTTTAACCGATTTTAAAAGTCTAACTTTTAAAATCAACTCTTTCAAAATCGGTTACGGAACCGATTTTAAAAGTTAAAAATAACCGATTTTAAAAACGTTTTTTTGACTAGTTATAAGCTATAGAGAATACCAGGTCTCTCTTACGGAAGTACAATTCTTAAGAAAAACCTCTCATATTATCTCTAATTTCTCTCTAATTTTTCACTACTCATTGTGGAGTGCTCTTTGTATTTTAAACTTCTCCCCCAATGATTCTCTAACTGCGACTTTTTATTTTTTAATCTTCTGAGACCCATTATTAAACTTCTCATATATACAAAGTGATCGTATCTACTGATTAAAAAACTGAACGTGTCTATAATTTTATATGCAAAATATAAGTCAAGGAATCACCTCTTTGTACAATTCTTATATTTATTGAAATATGAAGTTTTCCTTTTTTCATTTTCTTTTTATTAATTAAAATAAAGGCAATTGTCGTTTGTTCTCTCTCTCATTTTACTTTTGCCATTTTATGTTCATTGGGTACTATTTTACAAAACATAAATTTCGTGTTGTTTGGAAAATCAGATACATCATTTGATAATTAAAAGAAAAATTGTGACTTTAATAGTTACGTGTAGACTAGTACAGTGGTACTGTCGTAAGAGATTTTAAACTTACTTGCAGAGAAATAAAAGGGCATTTGCGGTTTTTGAATTGAAGGAACAGATAGAAGTCATTAACGTATCGTATTGGTATGTGAATATTTGAATATGAAAAAGTTATAATATTGAGTTCTCTTATGCTTTTGTACACAAGGAAATCAGGGAAATTAGATTACCTTGCTTCTTTTATCTACGACTTTGATGTTCATTTTATGTAATTTAAAATCTAACTATTTTAATCGAGAGCTAAGAACTAATCTTTTAAAATACAAAGATTTATTTAAAATTTAACTTCTTTTTTGACAAGTGTTTTTTATACACATAGATTTGAATTTAGATGACTTTGTAACATGTTTAAAAGACATGGTTATTTATCAGCTATATATCACATTTTGTTAGTACAAAATAAATAGATTTTCAACCTATTACATTTATGAACATAATATTGGTTAATTTTAATAATACGATTAAATATTATAATTATTAAATGTAATTTACGTAGAAATTTAATTATTTTAATATATTTTAATAAAATAATAAAATCCGAAACGGGAGATAAAATGAAAGAAGAAAATAGATAGCCTAAACTGTTATGGCTTTAATGACTCAATTAGAGAGTATTAAAATCAGTCTGGGCTTAAATAACTCTATTTAAGATTAATACGACATTTTGGGGGTAGAAATAACCCAATCTAGAAACAGGGCAACAAAGAGGAATTAGAAGAATCTTAAGATAAACTTTAACCAGCAAAATTGCTTCACCCAAAATGGATAATATCCAAATAAGAATATATCCATGAAAAATATAGTTACTAAAAAGTAAAATTAGTATTTACTTAATAAAAAAACTTAAACACAAACTTACGAATTGAACCTGCCTTCAGCTCATTAGAATGGAATTTGATTATAACATACTGCTTTAATTTATTAATAAACCATCAAATGCAAATACAAACTTACATAGAAATTTAGAAAGACTTGTGAATTCGAAATTAATAGGCACTTCTTCCTACTTACAATAATTTATTTGTAAACACTAGAGTCTAAAACAATTCCACACAATCACTGAACTTTTAACCAACGTAAATTTTCTTGTAAATTTTCTTCCGACATATATATGTTCCACTAGCAAATAAACCTGAAAAAAGTAAAATAAAATGATAGTGAATAGGAATGATAATAGGTTCAACTCAACACCAACCCCACACAAGCTAAAAGCCACAAAAAAAATCCAAATTATTTGGACAATCAGGTTGAATCACATAAAGGATAATGTATCCCAATTATTATCGGATTATTATTATTCTTAATTTTGATAAGGGAATTGCTACGGTACCCTCAAAGATCGAAGAGTTTCAATATATTTTTTTATATAAAAACTCATAAAAAATTTAAAAAAGATTAATTTAATTATAAAATGAAGAATCTAAATTATACTTATAAAATAAAAAGTAAGATAAAATTATAGAAATTAAAATTATAAAATTTCAATAATATTATAAAATATTAAAAAAAAAAAAAAAATTAATAAATAGTAGAAATAAAAAGTTATTAAAATTACAATATAGAAATTCAAAAATTTAAGACAAAAAGACAAAAAATATACTTAAAAAATTATTAAAATTAAAATATAAAAATTCAAAAAATTTAAGTGAAAAGATAAAAATATACTTAAAAAATTATTAAAATTAAACTATTTAAATATATAATAATATTATTACAAATAAATTAAAATATATAAAATAAAAATAAAATGACTAAATAATTTAAAAATTAAAAGAATAAAATAGCATAAATATTATTTAAATAAATTATTAAAAATATAAAATATAAAACACTGTACTAGTACCCTCTCAAATAAGATGGGTACCGTAGAATTTCTCTTTTGATAAACTCGATTGATCCAATCATCTTATTTTTTTAGTTTTCTTTCTCTTTTTTTATCAATATATTTATAAATAAAGTATTGTAGGACAACATTTATCCATTTTCAGAAATGATGATATTTTCTTTGTTTTAATACATTTTCTTTAAAAATAAAAAAAAATTAATACCATGACTTGACTTTTTTGTTTTTTCCAGAGTGAGGTAATATAAAATGTACAATGGCATGTAAAACCCAAAAGGATATTATTTATTTCCACCATATTCAGAATCAGTAGCAGGCATGGTCATTACTTTATAATTTATATTTTAACAAAACAAATAAGAAATTTGTCAAAACAAAAAAAAAAAAAAATAGGTTTACCTGTTTGCCATTTCATGGGTGAAGCCAAGAGTCAACCTCCTCGACTATTCTTAGAGCCACTTTTGTCGACAGGTTTCTCCTTATTACCCAATTTATCTGATGTGGAATCATGTCTTTTCTCTTTATCATTCTTAGAGTGAGAATCATATTTTTTGGCAGAACTTTCCGCATAACCTGCGTACTGTGCTATGGATTTATATTCTTTTTCTTTACCATTCTTAGAGTGAGAACCAGATTTGCTGGCAGAACTTTCCGCATAATTTTTTTTTAGAAATAATTAGAGTAGTAAAATAATTAATATTACAATTTATTCTGCTATGTTATCACTCTCTTTTGTAGAGATTTGGAGGAAAAAAAAATTAGAGTATTAAAATAATTAATATTATAATGGATAAATTAAATAATAATATTATTTTTTGAATGAGCGAATTTAAGCATTTTATGACACTATTTTAATTAATTATTTTTATGTATTATTTTTAATTTATTAAGAACACTCCTCCGGTTTAATTTTTTTTTACAACTTTTATATAGAGGTATAATCAGATTGAATTTAGCCAGGTTTGTAGTGTTTAGAAGTTGAAATCCATCAAATTAAATTAGGTTGAGATGGTTTGAGTTCCCTAATTTTTTACTAGACAAGTCAAATTAAATCAATTCAATGTTTGTCGAGTTTGTTTAGGTCAAGTTATCTGTTCGAGCAACAAAATAATATTAGCTTATAAAAAATGATAAAATTGCAATAAAAAAAATAAAAAATAAAAAAAGTAGGCCTTGTTTGTTTTGAGAGATGAGAGGTAGACTTTTTCAAGGAGTTTTTGCAAAACAATAGGCACACTGTGGAAAATGCACTAGGATTCGATTAATAGTTTGTTGGTGCGAAGTAAGGCTTTTGGTATTTGACTTAAGGGCGATGATAATGGTGTCAAAAGTCTGTAGGGATAAAGATCCTTTCTTTTTTGTAACGTAATCGTTTAGATTAGGATAAGACACAGTTGTATATAAGGTCAGGGCCAACCATCAACCCCTTTGAAGATTTCCAATGAGAGTACGAATTGTCTACCCTATTCTCATCACAAATTTGCGTGGAAGAATATAAAACACAAGGAAAGTTGGATTCAAACTCAAGTCCAAATAGGAGCCAAGATACCTGACCAATTATGTCATACTTGAGAAAAAAGACAAGAATTATATTGTGGAGAATATCATTTTGTGAGAGACCTATGGTTTGGTTAGGAGCAACAATAACAATATTTCATGATACCTGAACAAAAGGATTTTGTTGCATAAGAGGTAATTTTGTGCCAGACCTATGGTTTTTTGTTAAGAAGAGGGGCAATGGTGTGTGATGCTTGTGGAGACAATGATAAAAAGCTTTGAAAGAGGTGGAGTGTTGGAAGAAAGTGATGGGTTGATCGATGGTTGGGACATGATAGTCCTCTTGTAGTGTAGAGGCCATGTTGTGTTGGGGGCATTATGGTTGTTATAAGGCTATAAGTGTCTTGAATTCAATTTTGTTAGGTTTAAATTTTAGAACCTAAAGGCAGAACCAACAAGGTTGGGTTGGATAAAGTGAAAAATATATTAATGTGTTAAGATCAAACAATGAAATTCAAATATATGGAGAAAATAATTACATAAAGAATCCATTAGAAAAATACACATGTAAAAATAAATAAACTCCATGTTAAAGTAATATTGTATAAGTTTTATTTTACAAAATGAAGATATAAAAATCAAGAAAAAGAAAAACTTTTCAAGAATACAAAAGAAAAAGAGTAACTTTATATTATAAAACGATAATAAGTTAATGAAATATTTAGTGTATGAAAAGTATAATAAGCTAGTTGAAAGTTTATAAACTATATATTTGGAGTTGAAAAATTAGAAGTTTATAAGATAACTGATCAAATTGAAAGTATTTAATAAGATTAGATGATAAACTAGTTGAAATGTAAAATAACATATTTATTTATTTAGTAATGAAAGTGAGACAATAGCATATAAGTAAAATAATTTCTAAATTAAAAAAGATAAAAGGAAAGTAAATTAAATAACAACTACATGTAAATAAAGGAAATTTAATTTTAATTGACACAGAGATAGTATCGCATATTATTACACAATAATTCCACAACCATATACCATAACTTCCCTTTCATAACTAAGATCTACAATTAATTACCTGGAGCTTTGAGAGTTCAAACCCATTCTTGCTGAACAAAACAAATAATAGACTAGCTTGTTTTAGATGTGCTTTGGATCGAGTGGAGACTTGTTTTATCAAAGGAATATGATTTCATTCTATATTTATAGGCACAAAATTCATGTTACATGCAATTAAAGGAACTTGCAATGAAATTCGTTGTAAAATAAGCTTCATGGACTGGATTCATAATCACACGAAATAGAGTAGTTGAAGTTTGAAATGTTGAATTCCTCATTCGGAGTCTTAACGGTTTAATGAAGGTGAAATTGCTAATGTGACTTGAATGGTGATGAATTTGCATGAAAATTTTCATGAAAGGATGAGTGAGAAGTTGTCATTAAATGAATTCAAACTGTGAACGATATAAAATGGGTTATCTAATCTCTCATCCTTGTTACCTAAGAGACTGTAAAATGCTGCTTCATTTCCCAGAAATTCTAAATATAAATTAATATATTTTTTGTATATGAATATGAAGTTAAAAATATAATATTGATTTCATAATTCATACACAACACAAGAAAACGAGTAGTATTAAATTGCATATGAATGAGTTGTTTGAATTGAAAGAATAGTCAACGTATTGCATTTGCATTGGTATATGAATATGAAGTTAGGACGAAGGAGTCTTAATGGTTTAACGAAGGTGAAATTGCTAATGTTTTCCATAGTTTGAATAATTTTATAATGATAGGAACAAATGATGATACGCAATCTCAGTTTAATTGATTTCATACTCATCACAAGGAATCTAGATTGATTAAATTGCAGCTTTATTTCCTAATTATGCAGACTACAGTTTCATGACCGCGTCGGAGTCTCAAGTCTCAACTCGCGCGCTTCATTAAATGCCCACCCCGCATATTTAATTATTCATTAATCTTTTTAGTCTCAATAATTTCAGTTTAGGTAAAATTAAAATTAATAATATTTTTTCATAAAAGAGATAAAGTTTAGTATAGATAACTAATTTTTCTCTATTATTATTAACATCTTATATTAGTTAAGTTTGGGTAGCAGATACTGTAATACCTCGTTTTTTTTTAAAAAACAATGTTATTATTATAATATTATATTTGGGTAGAATTATTTTTATTATTATAAGAAAATATATTGTACATTTTAAATAATTATTTTTTATGTTTTAGATAATTATTTTATACATATTAAATAAGTATTTGTATTAGCATTTTAAATGATTATTTATGTTTTAAGGGATAATTTAGGAGTCGAGATGAGATACAACCTCCTATATTTTTACAATCACATTAATTATATATTTTATTATAAAATTTAAAAGGTTAATTTTATTGGACATTTTGATATTGAAATTATATTATTATATTTTGGTTTAGAAATATTTATTATTATTATTATTATAATTAGGGATAAAGTATTTTGTATTATATTTAATTATTTTGGAGAAAACAGATGGTCGGGAAGAGAAACGGGTTGGGTTGACTTAGTCTAATGGATTATTTTAAAAAATGGGTAAAAGAGTTAACCCTATCTGCTTCATTTTTACGTTCTAAAGGGTTAGAAGGAAAGAATAGAGCTCTGAGGAGGAGTGCTCAGGATCAATCCCAAACGATATCAAAATTGTTCCTATTTATGTAGTTGTGTGCGTGACACAGTGTTGGACATGTGATGCGTTAGCATGGGCGTGTGCGTGATGCAATGCTAGATGTGTGACACAGTGTATATATGATTTGTGATGTGGAAGTGAAATGGATTGACTTTAGAATTGATGATGTTAAATATGTTTGGATGGATATTGGGTTTATATATTTTTTGAAATTGAGATTGTCTTGTGGAAATTTCCTACTGTGCTTTTCTTATAAATCTCTTCTTTTCTCACCGTATGTTTTGTTGTTGTTTTTAGGTGAGGAAGATCTTGACATGAGTGGCATTCAATGTGCCAATAATTGAGTCATGTGATTACTCTGATAGTGTGACATCGGGGCAAGGAATTTTAGATTATTTATTTTATTGTAATTGGTTTTATTTTTATTTGTTAGTTAAATTTATTAACTTATATTTTATAAATATTTATTTTAAATTATTTGGAGTAGAATAGGTATCACAGATACAAGCATAGGTATCTAGGTACCCAACGTGTATTAGAATGAGGATGGAAATTGCTATCCAAACAAATACGAGGTTGGATATAAGTATTATTTTAAATGCAAGTATGAAAATGAGTATTTAGATGGTGTTTTTAATAGCAAATACATTGTTAATTGCATTTGGTGGGACAAATACAATAATTGTGATATATCAAGATTATGTCAACCTTCCTAGTCCAACTTAACAACGATGGCTTTTGAATATTTGGATTGTGGCTGAGCCTCTTATCCTACTCTTATGGTATCGGGAAATGGCCAAGATTTTCTAACCTTAGGGTAGTGTAAGACAATTGTCCGAGATATGAGGAATAGTTACAATAATGACTAAGATTCATAAGTCATTAATTACATTGAAGACACAACACCTTTTAAGGGATAAGGACAAGAGGTAAGGGATCTTGGCTTGAAATAAAGGCTAGTATATAAGAGAAGGGGAAACACCAAGATAGTTTAGGTTACACTCACTAAATGTTATGGTTCGAGATAGTAGCTAGAATTCTCAAGAGGTGGTCCCATATACCAGAACATTTTGGAGCCCATTGTGGGATACAAGTAAAATGATATCCCACACCTTGGTTGCCTGATGTGAGCCAAGGACGGAGCCAAGGGGGGACCTACGGGTGCCACGGCCCCCCCAACAATTTTAATTTTTTTTATATACATATATATTACTATATGGCACCCCAGTATATATACATATATATTTTAATTTTCATTTATTATAAATTATATATTATTTATTCTCGGCCCCCCAGTATTGAAATCCTGGCTCCGTCCCTGATTGTGAGCAATAATTTATAATGATGAGGTTGCTAAGGAGAAATACAAGGGGACTAACAATAAAGGCTCCAATGGTGTCGACGATGGAGACATCAGTGGAGTAAGGGGTATACTAGTTTCATAGACAACAATCCAACATTGCAAGAAGTCTTGGCAATTATGGAGGTTCTATGGCAGGAGAATGCATATGCATGAAGAAGGGCAGGGGAAGTAGAGCAACATCATCGACATAACATAGTGGTTGTTGATAATGATCCCATGTTATAAGAAATCATGGCTACCATGGAAACACTGATGGAATCATGCCAAGGAGGTCAAGAGGTGACACCTTGAAAGATTTAAGAGGAATGGGCTAGACATGAAGTTACTCCTCACATGGGTCACACCTTGAGACATCCATTTCCTTTTATTTTGTAAATATTATATAAGTATAAGTTTCATATATTTTGGTCTTGTATTTTGGACTACATAGATTAGCATTTTTTGGCCAAAGGCTTATTGGGCCTGTTTTTGGGCTTTATGGGCCTTTGGGCTTTTGGTACCCAATATTGGGTTCATTTTTATTCTTGTAATTTTTCCTTACCACTGTATTTGGTTGGTCATTGTATTTAGGCCCTTAGAATAGGAATGTAAAGGGAATAAGTATTAGGTGTGAATCATAAAGTTGTAATTACATTTACAGGTAATTAGAGTTTCATTTGAGTCACATGTTTTATGCCAAGGGTGGTTGCACATGTGACTAATCAAATGAACTCTAAATTACACTCAAATATAATTAGGATTCTAGAAGAGGGGCTGCCACATGGGGAGGCAAGAGTGGACGTCAAAATTTGAATTCAAATTCAAATTTGATTTCAAAATTGGTGCCATTTTGAGAACATGGAGGTGGCGCCACTTCCTCTTGATCCATGGCCTATAAATACTTCTTTCCCTCCTTGTGTAGATACTTTGAACATTAATGAGATTTCTGAAAATTCACTTCAGCCAAGTCTCTCTCAAATTCACCTAAAGAGTCCATAGTCTTAGCCTTAGGAATCCTAGTTTCTAAGCCTTGGTCGTAGGCACTCTTTTGAGTTTCTAGCTTGGATGCTTCCATCTTAGCTTAGGAATTCACTCTTCTTTGACCTCCAAACTGCATTCAAGTCCAAAATTCTTCATCAAGGAAGAAGATCCGTGTGCTTGGAGAAGGAAAAGGAAGCAAATTCTTTCACTTCACTTGCCTACTCCATCAAACACTGAAGAGAGATAATGAAGAAAAATATAGGATAATGGAGGATATAGAAGGTCTATGCCACGAAGATCAAGAGATATTGAGGTAAAAAAAATGAAGATTATTAAAGGAGAGTGAAAGAAACTCAAGGAGCCTTACAAGCACAAATCGCCACACTACGCCAAGGCAATATGGAAGAAGGAACAAAACCACCGAGACCTTTTCAACCTTATTTAGTGCCTTTTGAAAATGAGATCATACCAAAACATCTGGTGGTACCACATATTCAACCTTTTGACAGATCTCAAGATCTTAATGAGCACCTTATGACATACCAAGCTCATATGTTGATTGATCGAGGAAATGAAGCAACCTATTGCAAGTTGTTTGTAGGTACTCCCACGATGACAACAGCTTGAAGTGATTTAGCTGACCAACAAACAAGTTGGTCACTGACCTTGATGCCTTATCACGACTACTTTTGCCCAATTTACAAGGAACAAGAAGATGACCCTAATTAACAGTAACAAATCTTTTTGATGTGGGGCAATTACCCAACAAATCCCTGAAGGAATATTTGAATAGCTTTAATTGGGTAATTGTCAAAGTCACTAATTCAGATGAGAGAATGTTTGTGGTGGTGTTTAGTAGAGGATTAAGGTTCAGTCAGTTCTCGCAATCACTTATTCATAGAATAGCCAAGAGTATGGTCGAGATACATGTGAGAGCTATGAGTCACATTGAGGAAAAATAAAGAAACATAAAAGAAAGAAGTTGAGAAAAGACAAGAAGGAGGTTTCCGATTGACTTCGGGGAGTCAACACTTAAAACCCATAAATGATTGGGTCAACCAAGAAAGTGGGAGGCTATTAAGAAGAGGGGAGTACCAAAGAGTACCTCGATTTAATGAAATGTTGGATTATGAGGAGATGCAAAATCTGACTACTTTAAGCGTTTCCAAGTGGCGAATTCTCAAAGATGTTAATGAGGCTTGCTTGTTGAGTTTTCCCCCTAGGGAAGTTAATCCCTAGGCTTTGATAGAAATTGTTGGTGCGAATTCCACAAAAATAGTGGCCATGATATGGAGGATTATTTTACACTTATTAAACAAACGGAGCGACTGATTAAGAATGACCACATGAAGGACTATATTAGAATATAATGTAAGTTCTTATGCATCTATCCCACTCTTACCACTAAGACGACTCTAATAATTTTATAATAAATTAATTTAATAATTTGTATAAAGTATTGATGTTGAGTTTATAATTTTTAATTTTTTATATTTATATTATTATAACTTTCAATGTATTTTGCCAATTACTTTTAATTTTTACTTAAGTATCAATATATATATATATAAGACATATTAACATAGTTACAAATATTGAAATATATTTGAGGTTTAAATATGTTTTTGTCCTTTAAATTTATGACAAATTTATTTTTGTTCTCTCAAATTTAAAACTTCTTTTTTTAGTCCATATAATTTTTAACACATTTATTTTGGTCTTTCGAGTCACAAATAACATATTTGATAGTAGTAGATTAAGATAATTATAAAAAATTAATTGAGTTTAATGTAATATTATCATTAATAGAGACACTAATAAATAGATTTAGTGTGACAATATTTAACAAATTTGAGTATAAGAATTAAAATAGTATTTCTTACGCTGTCATACTAAAGATGCTTTATTGATATTATGTTGTTATTGTTATGAAAAACATAATATCATAACAATAACAACATAATATCAATAAAGCATCTTTAGTATGACAACACATTTTGGAAATGGATCACAAACGGCACAAGATAGAATAACACAATCAGTTTTGAGGCATAAAAAGGGCCAGGTAGGTGCTAATACTTACATGTGCAACATACCTCAGAGCTGTAGCAGACCTCTGAATTTCCTTTTTATCAGTGAAAAAGCTCATCTTCCTCAAAAATAGCACATTCAAGTGCAGACCATGAATTGTTAAGGATCCTTGATTAACTGGTTTAAGATCAGCAGAAGTCCCTGAGTAATGAAATAAAGGAAACTTTTAACAATAAAAAATTCAGAGAAAGTATCACTTGGAGATGCAGTAAATATTATCAAAAAATTTGTGATAATTTAAATTAGCTCGAAAGAAACTAGACTTAAACTTAATATTCAATGAATAGCTATGGTCCTCTGTTGCATCCATGTCACATTGTAAAACATCCCATGAAAATCTCGAGGTGGAATATTTGTCAATAGCTTCTAGCACATGATGGTACCCTGAAAATCTAGGAAAGTATAGTCCAGAAATTGAGATCTCTCAAAATTAGTCATCTTTGCGAAGCTAAAAGAGTCCGTCCATGTTTCTAGCACACTAGGAACAACACGAAAAATAAGCCTCTCCACACCTAATTGTGTGAGCTTCTGAAGAAAGAAAAGTAACAAGTTAGAAAGTAATAACTTCAAAAATGACTTAAACAATAGGACTTTATCTTAAGAATTGATCTAAATATAGAAAAACAAAATAGTCATCATAGGAATTGATCTAAATATAGAAAAACAAAATGTACTAATTCAAATTCCAATTTGAAGAATGATCAAGACATTAAGGTTGGTTGGAGAGAACAAAAAGTGCATATAAGTTATGTATGATTGGAGAATATCTTTTGAACTCGGGCAAATTACTCCACTCCAAAATGTAAAGTAGAACCACTGAACTAAAATAATCACTTGTGATTGAACATACCAATTTGTCAATCCCTCTTTCACCGAATATAAAAACAGAACCATTTTCTGCAACATTTACATCAAGATATAGCAAAAAAAATTCCTAATGCATAGTACAACCAGACATGAAATGAGAAAAAAAGAAAAATAAAAGATTTAATTAGATTCAAGTACCATCAGTACAAGCTGAATTTAGCAACCCAGCAGCTACATATTTTACCTAAACAAATTCAAGAATGAAGCCAAACAATAAAGATTATAGTTAAAATTTTGAAGCAATATAACTCTTAAAATATATCTGCTTGGAGAAGTTCAATTCCTAAACAACCTGAAACAGGTGATAACTGGTGAGAGATAGCATGCATTGAATGCCATAAACTTGCCACACGCAAGCTGTCATTGGTATCCATTCGTCCAGCAGACCCATAATCCTACATGTCAAAAGATTAACATAATTTTAATAGATTCCATGTAAAATGAAAAGCTTAGTGGCAACTATAAATAAAATATTAAAATTGATTTATTTTCTTTTAATAAAAGGTTGGAAAGAAAATTAAGCTATCATTATGATGCATCTTCCCAGACCCACACATCCTAAGGTATCTTGGTCATTTCTTTAAGTGAATTTAGAAGCTAGAGCTCAGTCTAAATGGTGAGCGAAAATATGAGAACTAATTAACAATGCAAGAGTTTTAGCTCATCAAACAGAGAAAGAAACAGTAACAACAACATCAATGCTTTCTGCCATCAATTTCAGAGGCATACAAAATAAATTTCTTAGAAACCCACCAGAAAATAATTTGAAGTTTGAATTAGAGACTAGTGAGCAACAAAGAGAATAAAAATAACCATACCTTATAATATATCAATCCACCAGACTTGTTGATGATGTAAAGACTCTAAATTGCTGCCATTCCAAAAACTTTTCCAGAATCTAAAATAAAGGCAAGGATGGAATTTAACAGGGAAATTTTCAAAATTAAATTCTTGTACTAACCACAAATACACTATCTTGGATTTTACAATCTCAAATTCAAATTGTTGACAAGTTGAACGAGGGACTCAGAGAATAGAAACTAGATCAGGCTTTTGAAAATTACATGGTAGAAGAGATAGCATGGGTAGTTGGGGTTCCAGTGGAACCCCTAGAGATAAGCAAGCTTGATAGCATTAAGAAGGAAAAAAGAAAAAGCTAAAATCAACATATAAGCTTCATCTTTAGAAAATTTCTATAAAAGTTCATTCATGTTGCCATTAATCAATTTAATTTGGATGCGCCATTGTATATCAAGGACTAATTTCTATAAACCTACACAATCAGAGCTCCATGTCTACTTTCTAGTCTGTAAAATAATAGACCAAAATAATTAAAAAGAAACTATCATTATCATCAACAGTGAAATAGCTGTAAGTTCCCTATAAACATGACCAAACAGAACCATCATATATCCCAAATTAGTGTCTTATGTTTTCTTGGCATATGATTGATTCAAAACCTTTTAACCTAATTCAAGGGATTGATGTTGATTATTTCAATAATTAAACGGACCAAAAATAATTTTGATAAAGATTAATACATGAAGATATTAATAGAGAAATAAAAAAAATCATTCCATTGAACAATTTTTGAGAGACAGACCCACAAAAATGGCATCTGGCATATGTGGATGGGCATAAGGAAAACCGAAAAGCTTCCATGCATCCAAGGTATACCAAGTATATTAACCCAATTAGAATACTGCACAAAAGAACCTTGGAGACAAGGTGGCAAAATTACCTTTCGATTGGCCTTCCCCCTCTAATTCTTCTCTAACCTTTCTAATCATCACTTCCCCCTTGGAGAACCTCTGTTGCTAAAAAAAATCATTAAAAAGAGTTTAGTTTTTAGTAGAATTGGTGAAATTAGAGGAATGAGTTGAGAGAAAAGGAAGAAATTTATTTACCTTGCAATCGTTAGGTTTCGTCGTCGTCACAGTCAAAGAGGGCCTTAATTTGGAATAAATTGATTGTGTTTCCAAAGAGGAGGAGAATGATATCGTGTTTGTGGGAGGGTTTCGAGGGTTTCTGAACCAACGAAAAAGGGAACCATTTCTAAACTCTCTATTGACGACGTTGTCGAGGGTTTCGAGGGAGGTGGGTCATCACAAGAGGGAGCCCATTCGAAGAGGGCTAATGAGTTTGACGAGATGGAGCGTTTGACGAGAGGGACGAGACGGAACGTTCAGAAGAATTCAATGCTTGGGAAGGAATCAAGAATTTGGCTAGAGAAGTAGAACGAAGATGATCCAATGTGTTTCTAGATAGGTTCTTGAGATGGTTTTCGATATGAGAACTCAATGCTACATCGGTCATGTTGAGTAGACGTAGAACATTTTCAATACTATATCGGTTGATCCAAAAACAGATGTAGAACAGTACAAATTTATATCGGTTCTACTTAAAACTGATGTAAATGTTCTAACTTTTTACATTTAATTACAAAAATGCCACCGTATTCATATTTTACATCATTTTTACTAGAATCTATGTAAAATTGCTGTCGTAGAACAGTAATTCTCTAGTAGTGATCACATATACACACAATAATCTAAATTGAAGACATAAATCTTAAATTATCGGTCAAGCAACAACTATAACTAGTCACATCAGAGTAGTCTAAACTGACATTGTTATCTTCTAGCATGACCCTCAAAATATGTTTATTTCAACTATTCCTATTATGCTTCCATAAAATGTATATGATCATCGTAGTCCAATAATAAAGAAACGTACGAGTAAAATTGGATTCAAAAGAAACAACATAGTATAAAAATATTAAACTAACTATACAACAACTTCAACATATAACATATACTTACAACTCAACAACATATCCAACTTCATACATAAGCCACACAACTTAATAGCATACCAACTTAGAATATCAATAGTATGACTATTCAACACAACATAATGTCAACACCATAGCTTATTCAACAATACAATATGTAATCAACACAATAGTTCACAACACAACACTTAAACACACTAGTACAAAAATAGGATTTTACGTCATCCCATTTACGTCAGAACTCCCAAAATACAACGTTATAAATAGGCGGTGGCATTGTCGTAAATAAAAGCTAACTAATTTACGCCGGACAAGGGGGGATCTGACGTAAATTATACATTCTACGTCGGATACAATTACCCTCCGACGTAGATTGCATAATTTACGTCGGACCCCCCCTTGTCCGACGTAAATAATGCACATGACTGCCCTTAAAAGAAGGTCTCTAGCAGCTGGAGATTTGGAGACATTTCAAAAACTTCTTCTCCCGCGCGTTGAAATCCCTCCGCCTCCTATACTCCTTCCTTCCTTATAATTTTTCTAACATTTTAGTCTCCATTCATACGGAAAATGGGTGAGGAAGCAAAAACAGGTGATATTTCCTAGTGAAACCTTTTTTCTTGCTGATAGTGTTATAACTTGGTCTACATTAATTAGTTCTTGTACTTATTATGTGTTCCTTTTTATATTTTGAGTAGGAACAACCAGTGGTTGAAGCAAGCCTGAGGAGAACAGAGAAGAGAAGCCAGAGGAAAAACCAGCAGAGGAAAATAAGGAGGAGAGCCAAGTTCGGGTTGCAACACGGGCCGTTCTGCTTGGAGAACGGCCCGTTCTCCGTTCTGCTTGCAGTCGTTTTTCTTTTTTTATATAATTTTTTTACAACTTTTTACGTCAGAATTGTTATGTCTGACGTAAATTTACGTCAAAATTGTTATGTCCGACGTAAATTTACGTCAAATTTGTTATGTCTGACGTAAATTTTACATCTCCCGCTTCAACGTCACACGTTTTTCTGACGTAAAATCCGTAAAATAACCGACGTAGAATGTATATTTTGTACTAGTGACAACATTGCAACCTAACAACACATCAACTTTCAACACACATCAACTTCACAACATATCAACACTACAACATGATACATCTTCATACATTTCAACTAAGAGATCTCTTATAATACAGGTGGGCAGTTTAAGTGGCTTGACTACCAAATCAACTTAACAACACAATCTTTTTGAGCTAGCTAGATCAATAACAAATTTGAATATAAATCCACAACACAATATGGTTTCTTAGATTTCACCACCAAATATTGTGTCCTTTATAATACTTAGTTGTGGATTTGGGCCCTCGACCTTGTACCTTATTCGGTTGATCACTTTATACACGTATGACTCAACCTTTCCCATACGGTTCTACATTGGTCACTTTTAATCAATATGGCTTGACCTAATTCCCATATAGTATCAACTAAGGAGTTGGAGGAAACTCAACACTTCACTTCAAGAGACAACTATACTCAAAAAAAGTTTTTCGACAATTAGGGTTGTAAAGCACGACAACCACATATCCTCACAAATTCATCTTTTAAAACAACATCTCTCTTTTAATCTTGAGTCAATTAACATAGTACAACTATATGCATTAAGTGTAGCGTCTAAAATATAAATATTAACCCTAATTTGATACGTTTATATATTTGCATATAATTTATATATATATATATATATATATATATATATATTGTTTTAGATTGGGAACACAAATAAGTAATAAAAGGAAATTTTCAAACTCATACACACATAATTAACTTATAACGATCTTAAAATATTTGCAAAAAAATATACATAATTATAAACTACTCATATCTTACATTATTATTTTCAATATTTATATACATATAATTCTACTATTATAGAGAGTACACGCCTTACATATTATATGTATATATATATATATATAT